GCTGAGCTTAGCTTTTTATCAGGAACCTACCGTAACAATAACTAAACCAATCCTGAGGTAGCAGCATGAATCCATTTATGAGGGGCAGAGCCCTCATGATCTAATCACCTTTTAAAGGTCCCACCTCTCAACATTGTGCTGGGAATTAACTTACCAACATGCTGGGTGCAATGGCTCACATCTGTAATCCCAGCGCTTTGGAAGGCGGAGGCGGGCGGATCATGAGGTCAGGAGATGGAGACTATCCTGGCTAACACGATGAAACCCCGTCTCTACTATAAATACAAAAAATTAGTCAGGCATGGTGGCATATGTCTGTAGTCCTAGCCACTTGGGAGGCTGAGGCAGGAGAATTGCTTGAACCCGGCAGGCAGAGGTTGCAGTGAACTGAGATTGCACCGCTGCACTCCAGCCTGGGCGAGAGTGCATGACTTCGTCTCAAAAAAAAAAAAAAAAAAAAAAGTTACCGACACATGAACTTTGGGGCACACATTCAAACCATAACACATTAACAGTCGATTAATTGCCTTATCACAAGGATGCCAAGACAATTCGACTGGGAGACAGAGTAGTCTTTTCAACAAATGGTGCTGGAACAGCTGGACAGCCACATGCAGAGAATCACATCGAACCCCTACCTCATTCCATAAACAAAACATGAATGCCGAATGTATCAAAGACCTAAATATAAGAGCTAAAACTATACAACTCTTAGAGGAAAGCGTAGGTATAAATCGTCAATACCCTGAAATTAGTCAGTGACTTCTTAGATATGACACCGAAAGCACAAGCAACAAGAGAAAAAATAGATCAACTGAACTTCATCAGAATTGAGAACTCTGTGCTTCAGAGAACACTATCAGAAGTGAAAACATGGCCCACAGAATGGGGAACGGTATTTGTAAATCAAATATTGGTAAGGGTCTAGTATCCAGAATGTATAAAGAACTCTTAGAACACAACAATAAAAAGATGACCTAATTTTTTAAAATAGGAAAGTAAATGTAATTTTCAACACAGAAAAATAAGCATATTTCTGCAAAATCCACCCTCCCCTCTCCACCACTGGTCTTTCCCATTAGAGTTTCCTCTCCATAAAAATTTTAAAAAGCACAGCACTGAGTCATTTGGTAAATTTGCCCTGGTAACTACTTATTCTGAAAAACCATTATCTTTCCTTAATTGAAAGGCCCGGAAGTGTCAGTTCTGCATTAGGCTGGTAGTTCTGTGCCTTACCTCGTCACACTTCAGGTCACCTTAGCTTACCTCCCTCTGTCTCATGGATGTCACAAACACCGCTTTTTCCTTGTGTGGGGATAAATAACTATTACTATACAACTTTTCTATGAGATTGAAAATGGGAACACTATTTGGAGTTAATCACAGAAGAGTCTTTTTCTTTTTTTTTCTTTTTGGCACCAGGCTGGAGTGCAGTGGCGCGATCTCAGTTCACCGCAACCTCCGCCTCCCGGGTTCAAGCGATTCTCCTGCCTCAGCCTCCTGAGTAGCTGGGACTACAGTTGTGTGCCACCGCACCCAGCTAATTTTTGTGTTTTTGGTAGAGATGGGGTTTCACCATGTTGGCCAGGATGGTCTCAATCTCTTGACCTTGTGATCCGCCTGCCTCAGCCTCACAAACGGCTGGGATTACAGGCATGAGCCACCGCGCCCAGCCAACAGTTTTTGTAGAATCTACCTGCTACTTAGTTTCAGAAAAACTGAGACCTTTGGAGGGGAAATAAGACTTTTAAAATACTGTCTGTGCCTTCTGAGAACATTTTGTCTTGTTTTCTGCTGTGTCCAGTGCCTGGAACAATGCATATTTGTTGAGCAAATGAGTGAACAAACTTCTTTTCTTAAATAGGAAAATGAATGGACCCATCTTACCCTTACCACAGCCTTGCTGCATAGAAAGAAGTGACTGGAGAGGCTAGCAGGGTGTGTGTGGTTCGGGCTCGGCGCTCCCCTTGTTGATGTGTGTGCGCTGGAGAGGGATTTCCCAGGCCTCTCCTCACCCATCAGCATGGTGGTTGTGGGGCTAAATGAGACCGTATGTGTATATATATTAGACCGAGTTTTGCTGTTGTCACCCGGGCTGGAGTGGAGTCGCATGATCTTGGCTCACTGCAACCTCCGCCTCCCAATTATTCAGGAGGCTGAGGCAGGAGAATCGCTTGAACCCAGATTATCCCAAACCTGGATTATTGGGATAATCTGGGTTCAAGCGATTCTCCTGCCTCAGCTTCCTGAATAGCTGAGATTACCGGTGCCCGTCGCCATGCCTGGCTAATTTTTGTATTTGAGTAGAGACAGGATTTCACCATGTTGGCAAGGCTGGTTTCGAACTCCTGACCTCAGGTGATCCACCCTCCTCAGTCTCCCAAAGTGCTGGGATTACAGGCATGATCCACCACCGCACCCAGCCGAGACCATATATATTTAAATACCTCAAATGTGTTAGATAATTTAAATGGTAGCTACTAATCATGATTAATTATAACAATATTGTTGATTTTTTTTAAGGTGAGTTTTCTCATTGTTCATTTTCAACTTACTTTAGGAGATGATTTATTAGAAATGCAGATTTGCTCTGGTGGCTTGGCTCTGTCACAGGCAAAACTCAGTCTGGGATGCATATCCTGTTTTAATGACACATGAGGTGGACAGCTGGGCATGATCCAGACAGTGGTTTATCACGTGTTTTCTTTTCCTGGAATTCCCTGGGTGAGGGTTAAAGAGAACGGGGCTGTGCACCTAGGAACACCGTGAGTGGGAGGACGGACTGCCAGAGCCTTGCTGGAGGATAGTTTCACAATAAATATGAACGTTTGAAATGCGTGGATCTTTTGGGCTGGTACTTCTGTTCTTAGGAATCTCCCCTATGGAAATACAAAGACGTTCATGGTGGTGCTGTTTGCTGTGGGAAAATTGGCAACTGGGATGTAACTGGGGACAGATGAACTCACACCAGAAAACCTTGCAGTCACTCAGGAAAATGGGGTAGCTCTATAGACGTTAGCATATACTTTAAACACTAGACATAGGCTGGGCACAGTGGCACGTGCCTGTAATCCTGGCACTTTTGTACGCCCCAATGGGCAGATTGATTGCGATCAGAAGTTCAAGACCTGCCTGGGCAACATGGTGAAACACTGTCTCCACAAAAAATACAAAAATTAGCCAGGTACAGGAAGTCTGAGGTCTTCCAAAGGATCACTTGAGGTCAGGAGTTCAAAATTAGCTGGGTGTGGTGGCGGACACCTGTAATCCCAGCTACTTGGGAGGCTGAGGCAGGAGAATCGCTTGAACCCAGGTGCCGGAGGCTGCAGTGAGCCAAGATTGTGCCACTACACTCCAGCCTGGGCCACAGAACAAGACTCCATCTCAAAGAAATTAGCCAGCTGTGGTGGCATGCACCCATAGTCCCAGCTACTTGGGAGATGGAGGTGGGAGGGTTGCATGAGCCCAGGAGGACGAGGCTACAATGAGCCGAGATTTTCTGTCTCAGAAAACCCCACGAAACTCTACGTATATTTTTCCCCTTTGCATAAGGAAAAAGAAACTATATATCTGAAGAGAGAGGGGTGTGTGTGTGTGTGTGTGCGCGCGCGTGCATATGTGATTTTAAATTTTTAATTGTGATAAAAAACACGTAACATGAAGGTCACCACCGTCACCATTTCTAAGTATGCACTTCAGTAGTGTTAAATACATTCACATTGTTATGCAGCCGATCTCCAGAGCCTTTTCCTCTTACAAAACTGAAACTCTGCAGCCAGTAACAATTCCCAGTTCTCTCCAGCCACCATTCTACTTTACGTCGCTATGAATTTGACTACTCTAGGGACCATCTGTAAGTGGAATCATACAGGATTTGTCACTTTGCGACTGGTTTATTTCTTCTTCTTCTTCCTTCTGCCTTCTTTCTTCTTTCTTCTTCTTTTTTAGACAGCGTTTCGCTCTGTTGCCCAGGCTGGAGTGAAATGGCGCCATCTTGGCTCACTGCAACCTCTGCCTCCTGGCTTCAAGCGATTCTCCTGCCTGAGCCTCCTGAGTAGCTGGGATTACAGGTGCCCACCACCATGCCCTGCTAATTTTTGTATTTTTAGTAAAGACGGGGTTTCACCATGTTGGCCAAGCTGGTCTCGAGCTCCTGACCTCAACTGATCCACACACCTTTGCCTCACAAAGTGCTGGGATTACAGGTGTGAGCCGCCACGCCCGACCGTGACTGGCTTATTTCACTTAACATAATGTCTAAAAGGTTTATCCAAGTTGTAGCCTGTTTCAGAATTTCCTTTTTTTAGAAGGCTGAACAATATTTCACTGTATGCATATACTGCATTTTATTTATCCATTCATCCACAGACACCTGGGTGGTTTCCACTTTTGGCTACAGTGAATCATGCTGCAGTGAACATGGGTGTGCAGATACCTCTTTGAGACCCTGCTTTCCATTCTGGGTGTGTGTGTGTTTTGGTTTGGTTTGGTTTGGTTTCGTTTTGAGACGGAGTTTCGCTCTTGTCGCCCAGGCTGGAGTGCAGTGGCATGATCTCAGCTCACTGCAACTTCTGCCACCCAGGTTCAAGCAATTCCCTTGTCTCAGCCTCCAGAGTAGGTGGGATTACAGGCGTCCACCACCACACCTGGCTAAGATTTTGTATTTTTAGTAGAGACGGAGTTTCACCATGTTGGCCAGGCTGGTCTCAAACTGCTGATCTCAGGTGATCTGCCCAGCTCAGCCTCTCACCGTGCTGGGATTACAGGCGTGAGCCACCGTGCCTGGCCTTGGGTGTGTTTTGATATGCGTCGGAGAAGAGCTGAAAAGACAGACAACAGCAGAACTCTGGAGAGCGGGGCTGGGGTGGGGGGCGCAGGTGGCACTTTGACTTTCATTTTGTACACTTTGGTTTTACTTTTTCTCGATAAGCATTAGGTTCTGTTTACCAGTAAGTTGTGAAGTCACTAATAATTATGTATTTGGTTTGCACTGCGTTAAGTTGGCAGCCCCTTTGCCAGAAATACCTCCAGATGTTGTGAGAAAATGTAGATTGGGACTGAAGGAGGAGAACCCTTCCAAAAAAGTCTTTGAGGAATGTACTAGGTAAGTGGTTCACGCTGAGCCCTGACTGTATTATCTGTACCAACCCCAAGGCAGACAGCTTACAGGAGGCTCACTGCATAAGACAAGCTCTTAGCAGAGTGTAGTTGACCCATGAACAACATGGGTATCAGGAACCCTGACCCCCCAACCCTCTGCGTAGTTGATAATCTGTGTCTAATTTTTGACTGCCCCAAAAGCTTGACTCCTGTTAGCTGACCGTTGACCAGAAGCGTTCCTGATAACATGAGCAGCCGATTAACACATATTTTGTATGTTCTATGTAATACATGCTATACTCTTACAATAAAGTATGCTAAAAAAAAGAAAGTGTAAAAATAAATGAAAAGAATACAAAAAAGAGAAAGTGTTATTAAGAAAATCATAAGGAAGGGAAAATATAATTCCTATTCATGAAGTGGAAGTGGATCATCGTAAAGGCTCTTCATCCTCATCATCTTCACACTGAGCAGGCTGAGGAGGAAGAGGAGGGTTGGTCTTGGCGTCTCAGGGGTGGAAGAAAATTCCCGCGTAAGTGGCTGCTTGCAGCTCAACCGCGTTGTTCAAGGGTCAGTTGACTTTACACATTAAAGCGATTACTTTCTCTAGAAAGAGGTGAGCGAAGAGTAGCAGCTCCACGCACACACGTGGCCCACTGAAAGGGGTCCCATTGTTTAGCACCAGCATCCCAGCATCCCGGTGGTGGCTCCAGGCCCTCTCTGCTCTGCCCGTGTCTAGGAGGAAAAGATTCCAATAAAATGCTTTTTATTCAGACCTAGGCACTCAAAAACTATCTTTTTTCTGGACCTTTGCAAGGAAAATTTCAAGGCAAAGCCCTTTGGCTAAATTCAGTTTCTTTACATATGTGGGATGAAAGAACGGTTTCTGAGGCGATCAGGCCCGAATCTGTAGTGCTTTGTGTGTGTATGCAGATAGGCGCTTATGTCACAGGGAGGAAACTGAGGCCCACGGAGCCATGAACAAGTTTGTTCTTTGCTCTGAGAGCAATGCAACGACACATTCATTGAGTTTTAAAAGATTGCTCTGGGTACAATTTGGAAGGTGAAGAGAAGGAAGACGGGGTCCAGGAGATCAGCCGTAGAGGCTGTTGTGGATGTTCAGGTGAGACGTGGTGACCTGGACTAGGAAATGATACTGATGACGGACATAAGCAAGTGGACTTTAGAGACACTTGGGGCTGGCAGCAAGGAGACCTGTACTGTCTGTGGGAGGCCATGGGAGGTTGGACGTGGGAGCTGTCACCTCTGTCTGGGTGTGGTGAAGGCTGTGGCAGTGGAGGCCAGGTCCAGGTAATGTGGGCAGAGTGAGAACCGAAGAGCAGAGCGGGAGAGTGAAGAGAGCCTGCAAAGCCACCTCTACTTTTCACACCTGCCTCTTCCTCTCAGCCCCCACTGGGGGTCATGGTGCCTTAGCTGGACCTGCACTGGTGGAAGGAGGGGCACGCACCAGACCGCGTCAGTGAAACAGCCATGCAAGCTGGAGAGGTGCGGCCCAGTCCTGAAGGGAGGCAGGTGGGAGGTCCAGGGCGTGTTCCAGGAGACGGGGAGAGAGGGCCCACCTGGGAAACAGGACTGGGAGTTACGTTGCTGACCATGCACTAGTACTTGTAAAGTGCTAGGTATTCTTCCTAGATTTTTTTTTTTTAGACAGACTCTCACTCTTGTTGCCCAGGTTGGAGTGCAGTGGAGCTGTATCGGGCTCACTGCAACCTCCGCCTCCCAGGTTCAAGTGATTCTCCTGCCTCAGCCTCCCAAATAGCTGGGATTACAGGTACCTGCCACCATGCCCAGCTGATTTTTGTATTTTTAATACAGACGGGGTTTCACCATGTTGGCCAGGCTGGTCTCGAACTCCTGACCTCAGGTGATCCACCTGCCTCAGCCTCCCAAAGTGCTAGGATTACAGGCATGAGGCACCAAGCCTGGCCTGTTCTTATGTCCAAGCAGGTTTTAAAACGTTATGTTAGATTTATCTTGATGTTTCCAGTGGAATACCAGACCAGAGAGAGTTGAGTTCATTTCTCCAACAAATCATTTTTTAAAGGCTTGTTCAGTGCTAAGCACTGTCCTCGGCACTTGGGCCACGTGGGCAAACCTAGCAGACAGGCTTTCTGCCTTCACGCAGCTCACATGCGGCAGGGAGTGGCACGCCTAGGCCTGTGCAGCCAGAGCGTGGTGGGGCTGGGCTGGAACCTGTAATGCTTTCACGATGGGACTGCCTTTAAAGTAAAAAACAGGCCAGGCACAGTGGCTGACGCCTATAATTCCAGCATTTTGGGAGGCCGAGGCAGGCACATCACTTGAGGCCAGTAGTTCAAGAACAGCCTGGCCAACATGGAGAATCCCCATCTCTACTAAAAAAGACAAAAATTAGTTGGGCATGGTGGTGTGTGCCTGTAGTCCCAGCTACTCAGGAGGCTGAGGTAAGAGAATCGCTTGAACCCGGGAGGCGGAGGCTGCAGTGGGCTGAGGTCGCACCACTGCACTCCACCCTGGGCAACACAGGGAGACTCTGTCTCAAAAATAAATAATGAATAGATAAAAATAGAATAAAAACCAAGGCTTTCTCTCTCTGTATGGCTTCCTCTTGAGGTGTGGGTGCTCTGCACACTGAGGAGCTGGGTGGTTTAGATGCTTATTCCTTTAGTGAGAAATTCAGTCACCAGTTCCACATCATGGTCAGCGCCATGCATATCATCTTTCCCCTAGCCAGGTGTGTGTCGCTGGACCAGAATCCTTCCACTGGCCCTCAGCCTCCTCCTCTGAAATGGATTAGAGCAAATGTAAAGATTTTAAATTTCAAGTCATGTTTTACTTATTCTTGTTGGATATTCACATTAATGGTATTCTAGTGTTTGTGATTTGAACTTCTTTGCAAAACGATATTGTCTCTGGCTGGGCGCCATGACTCACGCCTGTAATACCAGCACTTTGGGAGGCCAAGGCAGAAGGACTGTGTGAGCTCAGGAGTTCAAGACCAGCCTGGGCAACATGGCAAAACCCTGTCTCTACAAAAAATATAAAAATTAGCCAGGCACAGTGGTGCATACCTGTAGTCCCAGCTATTCAGAATTGACTGAGGTGGGAGGATCAATTGAGCCTGGGAGGTCAAGGCTGCAGTGACTGTGACCTCACCACTACCCGCCTGCCTGGGTGACAGAGCCAGAGTGAAAAACGGAAAGGAGATGTTGGCTCCAAGTCTCCATTTGATTGCTTCCCTTGTATGGCAGACAGGACAGGCATGGTCTTTGCTCTCTGGTACTGGTCCAGGACATTGTGGTAAGAATCAGATTTCTTCCTGTCTTCATCTGGGATGTCACAGAAGCCAGGAAGGGCCAATCTTTCAGTCCACACTTTGGTTCTTCGCATCCCTCTCCTGAGCATGTACATGCCCTAAACTTTCCTGTGCATGTGTACTAAGAGACATGTAATAGCAATCACACAACAACAATGAGGCCAGGCTCGGTGGCTCACACCTGTAGTCCCAGCGCTTTGGGAGGCTGAGCTGGGAGAATTGCTTGACGCCAGGAGTTCAAGGCTGCAGTGAGCCATGATGCACCACTGCACTCAGCCTGGGCAACAGAGTGAGGCCCTGTCTCTAAACAACAACAACAAAATAGCAAAACAATAATAAATGCTTTGGACATATTAATGCGTTTACCCACTCACAGTAACCCTATGCAATAGGCATGGCTATTATCTCTATTTTACAGAAGGAGAAACTGAGGCCATAGAAGTTGGGTAAGTGGCTCAGGACCCCAGCCAGTGAGTGGCTGAAGCAGGACTTACAGTGGCCCATGCCTTTGGCCTCTGTGCTGTCCTCCAGGGGACCCTTCCACTGTGCCTTGCACATGGGGAGCATGCTGCTGGACAACAGAACAGCTGACGCCCTTGCTCCCAATAGGGGAATGCATCCTTCTATTTCACTGCTCTTTTCATTCATGATATTTCACTTCTGCTTTCACTGACAGCATTAGATCCTAATGTGGACATCTGTAATTGCAAATTCAGAATACTGAATTGGGTGTAGTGATTGACTTTCTCATATTCAGTGCTTGTTAATGCACTAAAACACACTTGTTTTTACTTCTGAATGCAGCAAATGTATATAATTGCATAAAATCTTTTTCTAGAATTGCCCATAACTACTTAAGAGGGAAACCATTTGAAGAATACCAAGAAAGCTCACATTTTTCTCAGTTTTTACAATGGAAATGGCTGGAAAGGTATGTTCTCATTTTAAACACAATAAAAGCCTGTTGAGGTGGCACATACCTGTAGTCCCAGCTACTCAGGAGGCTGAGGCTGAGGGATTGCTTACGCCCAAGGTTTCAAGGCTATACAGCAGGATGATCATGCCTGTGAATAGACACTGTGAATACACTCCAACCTGGCCAGTGTAGCAAGACCCCATCTCTAAGAAAGAAAGAGACCTCAATAAAACAAGTGTTAACTTCTCATAATGCATAATGATAGACATAGACTTTTTCATCTGTCAAAATACGATTAGAAATTTTGAGTATTTCTAATGTAGATGGTATTTTCATATAGAAATTTTCAAAGGTATTATACAATTTCTTCTAATTTAATACACCCTGTTCTCTCTTTTTAAAATGGCAGGTAGACCTGTTGGTTCAGTGGCTAGAAAATAAAACTTAGCTTAGGTTTTGAGTGATTTAATAGGATGCAGTGGGTGGGACTTGGCAGCTGAACCCTGCTCAGCCTCTTACTGTTTTTGTGGCCTCAGGTAAGTGGCTTAGCCTGTATGAGTGGCAGGTCCTTGTTCCGTAAATTAGAGGTAATTATAAAATCTGCCTCCTTGGACCATTGCTGGGATCACCTGAGAAATGTATGTGCAATGCTTATAGCACAACGTTTGGTGCACAGAATACGTACTTCAAAAGTGTTAGCTGCGGGCCAGGTGCGGTGGCTCATGCCTGTTATCCCAGCGCTTTGGGAGGCCAAGGCAGGGGGATCACCTGAGGTTGGGAGTTCGAGATCAGCCTGGCCAACATGGTGAAACCCGTCTCTACTAGAACTACAAAAATTAGCTGGACGTGGTGGCAGGTGCCTGTAATCCCAGCTACTTGGGAGGCTGAGACAGGAGACATGCTTGAACCTGTGAGGTGGCGATTGCAGTGAGCTGAGATTGTGCCATTGCACTCCAGCCGGGACAACACAGCAAGACTCTGTCTCAAAAAAAAAAAAAGAGGAGGGTCAGCTGCTGCTAGTATTATTCTTGGTACTATTATTATTGACTGATTCGATTTCCAGTTCGGGCTTATACATGCTCCTTTTGAGATGTTGGGTATAAACATCTTTGAGGATCTTTTTTCAAAAGATGGCACAACGTTTGTGTGTCATCTTCCTCACCTGCTTTCGGATAGGTTCAGAGAGGTCTTCCTAAGACTATACCCTGAGTTATAAACATACATATTTCCTAGTGTCGGCTGGTTTCAGCCCTGTTTTTAGTTAGGAAGGGTAATTGGACTGTTGCCTTTGGCTTTGGTGTCTTTGATGTTAAGATTAATGAATTGCTCTTAGAGCAAGTCCAGAGCTGTCCTGCTAGAGGGAGCCACAGTCCTGAGCACACACACCCTTTGTCCCCAGCAGCCCCTTTGAGCAGAATGGTTCAATAAATGAGGCTGCCGGGCGCGGTGGCTCACGCCTGTAATCCCAGCACTTTGGGAGGCCAAGGCGGGTGGATCACGAGGTCAAGAGATCGAGACCATCCTGGTCAACACGGTGAAACCCCGCCTCTACTAAAAATACAAAAAATTAGCTGGGCATGGTGGTGCGTGCCTGTAATCCCAGCTACTCAGGAGGCTGAGGCAGGAGAATTGCCTGAACCCAGGAGGCGGGGGTTGCGGTGAGCCGAGATAGCGCCATTGCACTCCAGCCTGGGTAATATGAGTGAAACTCCGTCTCAAAAAAAAATAAAAAATAAAATAAATAAATAAATAAGGCTAAGACAAGCGCTGAGTAGTCTTTTCTGTCTTAAAAGAACAATGCAATGTGAGACCTGAAACTTGTTTTTCTAATTGATTAGGCGACCTGTAACCAAGAACACATTTAGACATTACAGAGTTCTAGGAAAAGGCGGATTTGGAGAGGTGAGTAACAGGGGCCGGTTCAGAACAGCGCTTCCAGCTGGGTGGAGAGCAAGGTCCTGGGAACCTGGCTTCAGGTAACGCGTCAACTCCTTCCAGCCGGGTGGACAGCAAGGTCCCGAGAACCCGGCTTCAGGTAACGCGTCAACTCCTTCCAGCCGGGTGGAGAGTAAGGTCCTGGGAACCTGGCTTCAGGTAACGCGTCAACTCCTTCCAGCCGGGTGGAGAGCAAGGTCCCAAGAACCCGGCTTCAGGTAACGCGTCAACTCCTTCCAGCCGGGTGGAGAGTAAGGTCCTGGGAACCTGGCTTCAGGTAACGCGTCAACTCTCCCAACACATGGTTTCCTTAGCGCGCAACTGTGAGAATTCACAGGGAGGTTTGAGCAAAAGATTTTTACGAATCCCTTCTTGTGTTGACTTCCCCTTCTGCCTCAGAGTTCTGAAGGAGCTGGTTTCCCATGCCTCATGTTCAAGCCCAGTCACTGTCCAGATGGAAAGATGATTCTGTTCCCGTATTATGGAATTTGTTTCCATAAATTTGTTTCCATGATTCTGTTTCCATAAATTTAAGACTGACACCAAATTCACACAGTACAGAGTGAATTATTAAATATACTTCCGTAACCCTTCTCTATTTGGACATGTGTGTACCTCATACCTATGTCTAAAGGTGTTTGGAAATGTGTCAATTTGGGAAAATCCTAAGGAAAAGACTCACAGACTCACGAGGGGTGTTACTTAAATATGATGGGTTTCCTAGATGGGCACCACTGTATAGGCGGATGGAGAACACCAGCAGTTTTGGTCTGGCCATTTAAAGAGATGCTAATTACCTCATTAATTACCTGGAGTGATCGTATAGAGTTCAAGAACTTACAGGTCCCTAAGAGCCAGGCAAGCCATTGGCAAACTAACACTGTATGTTTAACTCAGAGACAGGTTACACTGCCTGGATGTGATTCAGATATTACTGCACCCATATCACAATTCAAAGCAAAAGCCAATATCATTGCCTTGAAGTGAATTAGAAAGCCAACCTAGGAGGCAGGACCCTGCCACTGAGATCTGTTATGCACTTGCAGCTTGACTTGGTGGGAAATTGGCCAACGTAGTCATTACTTCAGGAGAGGTAACAGTACTGTCCTCCTGGTACAGTTCTAGACACCATGTGGACTATTTTGCCTAATCCAATCGAATGCTTGCTCTAATCCCTCCACAGTAGATATTTCTGTAAGAAATCCGTCCTCTGCTGGCCAGGTGCAGTGGCTCATGCCTGTAATCCCAGCACTTTGGGAGGCCGAGGCAGGAGGATCATGAGGTCAAGAGATCAAGACCATCCTGGCCAACATGGTGAAACCCTGTCTCTACTAAAAATACAATAATTAGCTGGGCATGGTGGCTTTTTCTTGTGGTCCCAGCTACTCGAGAGGCCGAGGCAGGAGAACCGCTTGAACCCAGGAGGCGGAGGTTGCAGTGAGCTGAGATTGCGCCACTGCACTCCAGCCTGGCGACAGAGCAAGACTCTGTCTCAAAAAAAGGAAAGAAAGAAAGAAGGAAGGAAGGAAGGGAGGAAGGGAGGGAAGAGAGGGAAGGAAAGGAAGGAAAGAATCCACTGTTTGAATATGTCCTAGAACAGGAAAGTCCTTTCTCGCTTCGGCTCTTGCGTATCTACCCTTAATGATCTCCAAGTGTAAAGACTCAGATTTTGTAAGAGCAGAGGAAAAATTTCTGGAACATGGGTCATGTGTTTATAAAGGAATGAAAGTCTAATTATAGCCACATGTAAGTTTTTAAAACATGTCAGTCCTAATAGGACTATTAGCGATAGGGACATGTTAGCAACTTTTAACTATTGTGAATGAGTTGGTGCTGGGCGAGGTGGCTCACGCCTGTAATCCCAGCACTTTGGGAGGCCAAGGTGGCCAGATCGCTTGAGCCCAGAAGTTCCAGACCTGCCGAGGCAACATGGCAAGACCTCATTTAAATATTTGATATAAATAAATACATTTAAAAAGTACAAAAGAAAGACATTATGATTGTATAGATTACTTTCTAACATTTGCCTGGGTTCCCAAACAAATGACCAGACGCACGGATAAACGTGGCAGCTTTCCACAGCCTTGTTCTGAGCTGTTGTACTCTGAGTCAAGGCCCAGAGGTAGTGAGCGGTCAGCCCACTTCTCTGAATGCCTGGCAGGAGGAGCCCTGGCCGCCCTGATGCGGGGATGGCTCGGTGCCCTTTCCTCCAGATTCTAGCCATGCGTTTGCTAGCTTGAAAGAGCAAACATAGTTGGTTTTATTTTGTCTTTTGCTTATGCTTGAAGTCCTCCAAAGTTAATTTCTAGGCTCATGAGTGAGCACAGTGGTCAGGGAATTGAGTAGACATCTCCGCTGTCACAGTTTTTAGGCTGCAGACTGTCATGGAAAGAGCACGTACTTCAGACGTGGGCAGACCCACGGTCAGGGTCCTATCATACCACCTCCAGCAGTGTGGTCCTGGGCCTGCCATTGTACTCTCATCTCTAGCAGGGAAATAATCGGCCCACCCGCCAGGCCTCTGTGAGCCAGTGAGTGTCCACACCGGCTGTCAGCACCGTGCCTAGCACTGTTGTCTGCTTTCCCTTCCCTTTCTTTGATTTGCCAATTCCACTTAGAAGAATTTGTCTTAACAGTAAAGAGATATGAAGACATTCTTATGCCAGGTCTTAAGAAAATGATAAATTTTGGGATAGTCACATTTTAGGAAAGCATTTCATGGTGAGAAAATAGTCACACGACAAGATTTTTAAAGGAGGTTAGGAAATGTGAGCTATTTTACAATATGAGCCCAGTTTTGCCATTAAAGGCTGGGATGGTGGGGAACGGGGTGTATATTCTTGCACACCCATGTGGGAACGTGGACCTAGAATCAAATATAGCAAAACACTAGCAGTCATTATCTTGGAATTGCAGGTGAGTTTTTATCACTCTCCTTATTACTTCCAGTATTTTCCACAGTTAGCTTTATATTTTTTTTGCCATCAAAATTATTTTATTGGTAGATAAAATCACATCGTGTCTTATGTTTGCTTTTAAAGCCGTCCCCTGCGGGGTGTGCAGTGGATGGGAGCTGGAAGAAACAGCGGCCTCATGTTGATGACCCCGAGGAGCGGGGGCTGGAACCTGGGGCTCACGATACTCTCTTTTTCCACTTTTGTTTGTTGAAAGTTTTTCATGACATGAAGTTGACATAATTCATAAATGCTACTTTAAGAAGTAAATAGAATAAAGATATGAAAATTGTGAATTCTATTAAATATATTTCCTTATACTCTTGACTTTTTAAATTAAAAGGAATCTTTTTAGGCCAGGCATGGTGTCTCCCGCCTGTTAATCCCAGCACTTTGGGAGGCTGAGGTGGGCGGATCACCTGAGGTCAGGAGTTTAAGACCAGCCTGGCCAAGGTGGCAAAACCCCATGTCTATTAAAAATACGAGAAAAATTAGCTGGGCGTGATGGCAAGCGCCTGTAATCCAGCTACTCGGGGGGCTGAGGCAGGAGAATCCTGAGATAGAGTCTTGCTCTGTCGCCCAGGCTGGAGTGCAGTGGCGCCATCTCGCCTCACTGCAACCTCTGCCTCCCAGGTTCAAGTGCTTCTCCTGGGATTATAAGCATGAGCCAATGCGCCCTGGGGAAAATAGAGTTGATAGAGCGCAGCCTGTCACTGAGAGGAGGAGCGGACTCAGGCTGACAGCGCCCGCCTTTGAAACGGTCTCGGCTCCTCAAGCCCTGCTGGTGGTCCCTGCCAGCGAGGGGCTCATCAAGCAAAGAGTTTCCTTTGTGTGGCCTCAGAAATGTCAGGTGGACATACACCTTCGTTTTGCTGTTTAAACTAGGTTTGTGCCTGTCAAGTGCGAGCCACGGGAAAAATGTATGCCTGTAAAAAGCTACAGAAAAAAAGAATAAAGAAAAGGAAAGGTGAAGCTCTGGCTCTAAACGAAAAAAGGATTCTGGAGAAAGTGCAAAGTCGATTCGTGGTAAGTGTCTCCTCAGTCTTCACTGTGCGTCGTTTGACTCACAGCCTGCTGCCCAGCGCACTCTCACAGAAGCCACAGGGGTCATCCTTGTTTTCTTAGTTTATGTGGGGTTCTGCTCTTTTTAGTAACAGGTTTTTTTGTTATTGGGTTTTTTTAGTAACAGCTCTCTTCTTTCTTATTCAAATCTTAGAAAACATAATACTAGTGATACGGCTTCTCACTTCTGGTTTGCCATAAACCTGTTGTCTCCCGTCCCACTCTGTCAGTTGCTCTTCACACCTGCCGCTCGTCCAGTCCCTTAGTTACCTCGTGTTTCTCGGTGAATTGCCCTTCCTTTACCTGATCACAGCCAGAGCTTATCTCTGTTTGCTGTCAAGTTTCTCTGGCCCAGGGGGCACTGTGACTTGGTTGTACTGAGGATACCTTCTCTTTGTCTTTTTTTTTTTTTTTTGAGGCAGGGTTTCACTCTGTTGTCCAGTCTGGAGTGCAGTGGCACCATCTTGGGTCTCTGTAGCCTTGACCCCCCAGGCCCAAATGATCTTCCTACCTCAGCCTCCTGAGTAGCTGGTACCACACCCACCCACCCCACTAAGCCCCTTAGCTTTTTTTGTTTTTTTTTTTTGAATTTATATTCTTCTTTTTAGAGATGGGATCTCTGGCTGGGCGCAATGGCTCACACCTGTAATCCCAGCACTTTGGGAGGCTGAGGCGGGTGGATCATTTGAGGTCAGGAGTTCAAGACATGCCTGACCAACATGATGAAACCCTGTCTCTATTAAAAACACGCAAAATATTAGCCAGGCATGGTAGCGCATGCCTGTAGTCCCAGCTACTTAGGAGACTGAGGCAGGAGAATCGCTTGAACCTGGGAGACAGAGGTTGCAGTGAGCCAGGATTGCACCACTGTGCTCCAGCCTGGGCAACAGAGCGAGACTCCATCTCAAAAAAAAAAAAAAAAAAAAAAAAGAGGGATATATAGAGAGATGGGATCTCCTTATGCTGCCCAGGCTGGTCTTGAACTCCTGGGCTCAAGTGACCCACCTGCCTCAGCTTCCCAAAGTGTTGGGATTACAGGCGTGAGTCACCGCGCCCGGCTGAGGGTACTTTCTCTAGCCCCTCTTCTCACATGGACCTCCTCTCTCTGGCCTCAATTTGTTTTCTGTCTTTTGTTTTTTTCTGGGAAGTTTACCGCTAGGCCCTCAACTAGCATATCCCAATTGTATGAAGCCTCACATTCCACCTTCACTGTTTCCGGGAAGGACAGAGCACTGGGTGGACTGGTATGAGCTCAGGGAAGCGGCTCCAGGCTTGACGTGTGCCTTGTGTCGTGTGGTTCTCCTCTCCAAACCCAGGGTCTCTCTACCTAGCTACACATCTCCTGCAGCAGCTGCTGAAGCATGCAGACTGGCTGAAGGGAGAGTGTGAACGATAATTATAAAATCATTTGTAGTGTTAGAGTTCTTTCCTTGAGACTGTTTGCTTCTTAGCCCTAAGGTTAGCTGCTTTGTGCTGGGGGAGAAATGTTCCCAAACCATTTACCTTTACAGCTGGTATCTGAGTTTAATAGCACGGTGTGTGTGTATGATATGTCAGTTTCACATACAATTACATGGAAATCTTTCACACAATGGACTTATCTGGGAGTCACTTTAAACGTTCGGCTGGGCTTGGTGGCTCATTCCTGTCCTTTCACCACTTTGGGAGGAGGCCAAGGTGGAAGGATCACTGGAGCCCAGGAGTTTAAGGCAACATAGGGAGACCCTATCTCTACAATGTTTTTTTTTGAGATGGAGTCTCACACTGTCGCCCAGGCTGGAGTGCAGTGGCATGATCTCGGCTCACTGCAACCTCTGCCTCCTGGGTTCAAGCGATTCTCCTGCCTCAGCCTCCTGGGGAGCTGGGACTACAGCCGCCTGCCACCAGGTCCAGCTAATTTTTTTGTGTTTTTAGTAGAGACGGTTGTTCACTTTGTTGGCCAGGCTAGCCTCAAATTCCTGACCTCATGATCCATCTGCCTTGGCCTTCCAAAGTGCTGGGATTGTAAGCATGACTATTCCTGTGCCCTGACTCTGCAGAAAAAAAATTTTTTTTTTTAAAAAAAGGGCATCCAGTAACAGTTTGAATGTAAAAAAAAAAAAAGGCCAGACACAGCCAGGCATGGTGGCTCACGCCCGTAATCCCAACACTTTGGGAGGCCAAGGTGAGTGGATCACCTGAGGTCAGGAGTTCAAGGCCAGCCTGACCAGCATGGAGAAACCCCTTCTCTACTAAAAATACAAAAATTAGCCAGGCACGATGGCGTATGCCTGTAATCCCAGCTACTTGGGAGGCTGAGGCGGGAGAATTGCTTGAACCCAGAAGGCGGAGGTTGTGATGAGCCGATATTGCACCATTACACTCCAGCCTGGACAACAAGAGCAAAACTCCGTCTCAAAAAAAAAAAAAAAAAATTAGAAAGAAAAAGATCAGGACATTGGCACTTAAAGTAAAAAAAAAAAAAGGCCAGACACTGCGGCTTACGCCTGTAATCCCAGTACTTTGGGAGGCTGAGGCCCGTGGATCACCTGGGCTCGAGTGATGAGAGCACAGCACAGAGGAGTCATGATCCCAAGTATCGTGGTAAAGTTTCACCACTTCTTCGCTTAGCTCTAGAAAGTTCTCTCTTTTTGCTACCCAGCTGCAGTTAAATCTTCAGTATGCCAAGGTCCAAGAGGCACGTGATGTGTACATTTCTCTGAAACATAGTATTCACATGTTCTGATTATAAACCTAATAAGGATTATTTGCATATTGTTAGCAAATAGAGGAAATCACCAATGAATGAGCTTGTTCGTGTTCTGTTTTTATGATGTTGCTGTCTTTAGGTTAGTCTAGCCTACGCTTATGAAACCAAAGATGCCTTGTGCTTGGTGCTCACCATTATGAATGGAGGGGATTTGAAGTTTCACATTTACAACCTGGGCAATCCCGGCTTTGATGAGCAGAGAGCTGTTTTCTATGCTGCAGAGCTGTGTTGCGGCTTGGAAGATTTACAGAGGGAAAGAATTGTATACAGGTAAGAATGGTGCTGCCTAATGGAGCCTGCAAGCCTTGGAGCAGGTTTCTCCCAGCGCTGGGCTTCCCTGGCTCACACTGGTTGCTTCCAGGCTACGCAGGAGAGCAGCTCAGAGCCCCTGGATGGTGATTCATAGGGGTGGTCACTTACACTATGGGAAATATGGTCAGTCAGAGGGCCCTGGGTGGTGGTTGTCGTTTTTGAGATGGAGTCTCACTCTGTCACCTAGGCTGGAGTGCAATGGTGCGATCTCAGCTCACTGCAACCTCCACCTCCTGGGTTTGAGCGATTCTCGTGCCTCAAGACTCCTAGGTAGGTGGGCCTATAGGCACCCACCACCATGGCCAGCTAACTTTTTGTATTTCTAGCAGAGACAGGGTCTCACCATGTTGGCCAGGCTGGTCTCGAACTCCTGACTTCAGGTGATCCACCCGCCTCAGCCTCCCAAAGTGCTGGGATTACAGGTGTGAGCCACTGTGCCTGGCCTAAATCTCTAATAAATTGTCTTTTTGAAGGAGAAGTTTGTTTTTTACTTGTTAAGTTGATCACAATTAAAGGTAGTGCTACTCATGTAAGCGTGAGAAGAACACATTTCTAAGGCTCTTAGATATTTTGACCATTCTGATAAGGAGCTATTACATCCTGCCATATAAGATAACAACTTAGTGTCTTGAAATAGCAGTTTCTTTTTGCATCTTAGAATTTAGTAAAGAAAATTCAATTAAACTTACTAGTTTAGTGTAATCAATATATTTAGTTTTAGGAGAAACAGTTCCTTTTCCTAGCCCTTGAATGCTGGAGTTGTGAGTCTCTTCTCAGTCACTCTCCCTGGGCAGTTTTATGTGTTCGCTTCTGCGGGTTCATCTACCAGTCATAGTGGGTCCCCCATATCCATGAGTTCTGTGTTGTGCATTCAACCAGCTGTGAATCAAAACTATTCCGAAAATCCTTCTCAACAGGCTGAAAGGGGAAAAAAGAGAAAACGTTCAGAAAAAAAGGATGGTTGCATCTGTATTGAACATGTAGACTTTTTTCTTGTCACTATTTCCTAACAATACAGTATAATAACTATGTACATGTCATTTACATTGTGTCAGGTAGTATGTGTCATCTAGAAGTGATTTAAAGTATTTGGGAGGATGTGTGTAGGTTATATGGAAATTCGACACCATTTTATATCAGGGACTTGAGTACCCTTGGATCCTGACATCCAGAGGAAGGGGGCCTGGCATGGGACCTGATGGTGTCTGCCTTGCCACCTTGTAAGCCTGGCTCTCATGGCCTTTGTGAGACAGCTCCGTGCTGAGCCCTCCAGCCGCGGGCCCTCCTGCTCCCACAAGGGCACCCCCTGGCCTCGTCATGCGAGGGTTTCAGCCACTCAGGTGTCCTCACCTCGCCGCACCTTTGCACAAGGTGCCACTCTTGAGACTCCTGCTCATCCACACAGAGTTAGCCCATGCAGCATGAGGGTATGAGCCCGAGCATGGGCTCCTCCTCCACATCCCGTGGTGCTCCCCATGTTGTCTGCTCAGCTGGTCACGCCCGGCAGTGAGCTTCTTGGGAGTCTTTGATCTCACTTCTCCCTATTCTGATGGACCTTCAGCTTCTCCCTATCATATATGTCCTGTAGCCAGTATGGGATGCATCTTTCTCAAGGACCGGGGACCAGGCTCGGCAGTGGGGCTGAGCACTGAGCAGGGGCGGACTGCTGCCCTGGCTCTGAGGCCTCTGGAGACAGAGCTCCTCGCCTGAGTTGAGGAAGCCTTCTTGCCATTGCTTAGACGTAAGAGTCTGGTGGCACTGGAGCATGGAACACACCCGTAGGAGATTTGATTCTTATGTTACTCCTGGAGTAAATCACACTTCACAGGTGACTATGTCTCAAGGTGAGCTGGATTTTCTCATGTAAGCTTTGGCTCAACCGCCTGCACTCGGCGGGGGCTGGACCGTGTCTGCCCCGTCCACCACTGTGTCCAGAGGGCTCACCGCCAGCAGTTATCACTAAGTACTTGTTGAATGAATGACCGATGGCCCCAGTGATATTCCCACCTCAGCCCCCCGAGTAGCTGGGACTACAGGTACACACCACTGCACCCAGCTTGAGGCATTCTGATATGGAGACTTTTCAGTTTGGGGAACTCTTAAAAATATATTAATAAGAGAAATTGAGCCACGTTCATTACAGACTAGTTGCTTTCCTTGCTACTGGGCTGCGTATTTAATCACTGAAATGTCTTCAGATCTGTATAACTACGCAAAGCAGTTCATTTTACACTGTCGTTGTGTGTAAGTTGTTTGCTGAGATGGATTTTGTAAAATTCTCGTCCTGCCGTGTGACTACTGAAGCCTGTTTGCCGTGACTCGTGAAGGGCGGCTTTGTTCTGTGCCATCCTGGCCCTCGCTCACCGCCCCTGCTCGCGGCCGGCTGTTCCTGCTGGGAACTCAGGAGTCACAGTGCCAACTTCTGAGTAACTGAGCCTTTTGTTGTTTCTTTCCTTGCAGAGACTTAAAGCCTGAGAATATTCTCCTTGATGATCGCGGTAAGTGAGCAAGGCTTTCGCATGTAACGGGTAGACTTCGTTAGAGGGACTTGGATACAGGAGGTTGGGTGCAGAACGTGGATTTAGTACTTAACAGAGAATGGAAACAACAAAAAAAAGAAAAATGCTTTAAAACAATGAAATACTATTAACATGATCATTCCCCTGTGTTTAGGCAAGAAGCAGAGATGGTTATAATTTCCAATTAATGACTGAGTTTTAGAAGCCTTTTTTTTTTTTGAGACAGGGTCCCGCTATGTTGCTCAGGCTGGAGTGCAGTAATCTAATCACAGCCCACTGCAGCCTTGAACTGCTGGGCTCAAGTGATCCTCCCTGCATGGCTGGGACCACAGGTGTGCGCCACCGTGCTCGGCTAATTTTTATTTGCATTTTTGTAGAGATAGGACCTCGCTATGTTGCCCAGGCTCTTCTCAAACCACTGTCCCCGAGCAGTCCTCCTGCCTTGCCTCCCAAAGCACTAGGACTACAGGCACGAGCCACTGTGCCCTGCCTAGAAGCATATTGAAGTAAACACAAAGTCCGAACATTTTCTCTCTCTTGTTTCTTGCTGTTGACCCACCGTTTGCTTTATCCCCTTTTAGATTCTATTCCCCTCTAAACGTCATGCTGCCCCCGGTGCTCTCCTCTTGTGACATAGCATGTGTCACAGAGCGGGGTGCAGATGGCCACTTGCAGACCCTGTAACAGTGGACAGGGAGGGCCCCTTTGAGCAGGTTCCTTGTCAGCAGCACGGGTGCGTACTCCACCTTGGTTCCTCCGAGGGACAGTCATACCCAGAATGCAAGGATGGTTGCACTGCCGAGCTGCGTGCTTGTGCTCACACATAGCTCACAAGCAGCGCTGGGAGAGAGCTTCTTTCAAGTGAGTTTTCTCGGCAAAGAAGGGTCTTACAGTCTAGTAGAGCGCATATGCAAGGTCAAAGCAGCTTCTGCCAAGAAGAAGACAGGCGTCTAAGCAGACTGAGAGCAGTCACGGGGACTTGGAATGCGAATCCCCTTTTATGCCTCTGCCAGATGCTTTCATTCTTATCTAATTCATGTATGATACCCCACCCTGTGAGGAAGGAGGGCACTGGAATTCTCATTTTATGGAAGGCGATACTGAGATTTAGGAAGCAAACTTGTCCAGAGTTGTGTCCATAGCTCCTGGCTTAGCCTGTGGTTCCTTCCTGATGCTGTGCCACTAACCGGAGGTAGCATAAGTGGGAAGGGCACTAAGAGAAGCTGCTGACTTAATAAGTTCTTCAGTGGCTTAACAAGGGTAGAACGTGCTCTGTATGCAAAGCGGAGCGATCACCAAGCGACGTGGTTGATGAGAACAGGGCACCGTGCGGAGCTTCCTTGTGTGTAAACAAAGCAGGGAATCGTGTGTGTGTGTGCTAGCTCAGAAACATAAGCATAAAGGGAGAATCATGAGAAACGATTAGAAGTGAAAACGAGGCAGGGGAGCACGCTGATAACCTTCTTCTGTGTTTTTAGTAGATTTTTCTATGTAGCTCCCTCTTCTTTGGAACTTTACCCCATGCATTTGAGCTGAGCCATCTTTCCCCAGCGCTAACCTCTGCCTGGCTGACTTAGCAAGACACCCTGCTCTGCCCAGGTTCCTCTCCTGCGCCACCATCTGAAGGGCACTCCCAGGTGGGACGCCAGGATGGGCGCTGGGCCAGTTCACTGTCTCTTCTCTTGGGAACCACAGTCCTCTGATGCTGATGACCATAGTTTCCTTTTTTAAAAAATTGTTTTGAGGGTCAGGGTCTTTCTATGCTGCCCAGGCTGGGTGCAGCAGCTACTCACAGGTGCGATTATGGCACCATTACAACCTCAAACTCCTGGGCCAGAGTGACCCTCCTGCCTCCACCTCCTGAGTAGCTGGAGTTTCAGGTATGTGCCACCACATCCAGCGGGGATTAAGCATATTTTAATTGTTACGGTGCGATCATACCTCACTGCAGTTTTGACCCCCGGGGCTCTAGCGATCCTCCTGCTTCAGCCTCCTGAGTAGCTGGGAATACAGGCATGAGCCACCATATCTGGCCAATTAAAAAAACACCTTGTAGCCTAGGCATGGTGGCTCATGCCTATAATCCTGGCACCTTGGGAGGCCGAGGCAGGTGGATCACTTGAGGTCAAGAGTTTGATACCAACCTGGCCAACATGGTGAAACCCCGTGTCTACTAAAAATACAAAAATTAGCCAGGAATGGTGATGCACCTGTCATCCTAGCTACTCAGGAGGCTGAGGCAGGAGAATTGCTTGAACCTGGGAGGCAGAGGTTGCAAAGAGCCAAGGTCACGCCACTACACTGCAGCCTGGGTCCAGCCTGGGTGATACAGTAAGACTCCATCTCAAAAAACAAACAAAAAACAGTAAAAGATTTATTTATAGTTCTTTTGGTCATTAGCAAAAGTTCTTTGGTTCTAAGGTTGTTCACTCAAATTAATTTAAAGTCACTCAGAGGCTGGGCACAGTGGCTCATGCCTGTAATACCAGTATTTGGGGAGGGCAAGGTGGGTGGATCACCTGAGGTCAGGAGTTCGAGACCAGCCTGGCCAACATGGTGAAACCCCATCTCTACTAAAATACAAAAATTAGCCAGATATAGTGGTGCATGCCTGTAGTCCCAAGTACTCGAGAGGCTGAGGCAGGAAAGTCGCCTGAACCTGGGGGGCAGAGGTTGCAGTGAGCCAAGATGGTGCCACTGCACTCCAGCCTGGCAACACAGCAAGACTCTGTCTCAAAAAAAAAAAAAAAAAAAAAAAAAAGTCGCTCAGTATCATTCCCTTCTGTGCAGTTAAACCACCACCTGGATACACCGTTAGGTTCATTTTCTTCATTTTTGCTTTCAATTTTTAGCAATCTATTTTTCTTAATCTTATAATTATGTAAAACATTTATGTGGTTCCAAAGATAAAACCACAAAATAGAGTGTATTGAGAGATGCCTAGATTCCATCCTTGACCACCCCCAGGTAATTATCTTAACTCATATTTTATTCCGTCATTTATATACGGCATATGTGTGGGTATATTTGTTCCCCACTGCTTTCTTAAATAAATTAGGAGACACACGTGTTATTCTCCACTTGGCTGCTTCACCTACTACATGGAGGAGACAGCTGTGCACTGCTCGTGAGAGCTTCCGTCCGTCCACTGCCTCCTGCAGGTGAGCCTGCCCGGAGGAACAGTCCTCGCCGGTGGTCGTGTCGTCTCCACTTGTGCCGTTTCAGTTCGTGCCACCACGGAGAGGCTTGTTTCCTTTTTGTTGACTGTATCCTGCAATTTGCCAGATATTGCCAGATCCCCTCCAGGGCGTTGTCCCGTCTGCATTCCCACCAGCAGTGCCCCAGAGCACCTATTTCCCCACAGCCTCGCCAGCAGACCCAGTTCTCAAACTTCGGAGTTTTGTCAGTTTGTTAGCTGGGAATTGGTATTTCAATGTAGTTTTAAGTTGCATTTCTCAGTTTAAAAAGCCATTTTTAAAAGAAAAATAAGACAATGACACCAAAAAAATAAGTCACAACATGCTAGCACTCTACTGAACGAAAAATGCATGAAAGCTGGCCAGGCATGGTGGCTCACGCCTGTAATCCCAGCTCACTGGAAGGCCAGGGTGGGAAGATTGCTTGAGCCCAGGAATTCAAAACCAGCCTGGGCAACACGGTGAAACCCTGTCTCTACACACACACACACACAAAAGACAAAAGAAGAAATCTGCATTATTGAAAGAATGCATCTGTACAAGGGGAAGAAACTGAGGCGTGATAGTAAATGGCAGAGGCTGGACTGAGACCCGTGCCACCTGGCTGCAGGATCTGTACCCCTCACCCCTGTGCTCTCCTGCTTCCCAGGGTGGGCATGCAGCAAGGGCAGGGCGTGGTCCCTCACATGCATGCAGCTGGGTCAGAGGCTGGCTTTCCTGTCTAAAGCATCACGTAGACTGTTTCAAAATGGTTACGGTGCTTTGGAGGGCATGTTGCATATTTTTAGGTTTCAGCAAATATTTATTGGTTATTCATTTTTTTCACCGATAAATATTTATTGAGCACCTACTGTAGACCAGTGTGCTATGTTAGAAGCTGAGGATAAGTGGTGAGTAAGTTGAAGATGGTGCCCACTTCCAGGATGGGCTTATCTTTCTAAACACTCCACAGAATGTTTTCTGTAATTTCTTATATTCTTTATAACTTTTTTTGAGACAGGTTCTCACTCTTGCCCTGCAGTGGCATGATCGTGAGTCATCCCAGCCTCTACCTTCTGGGCTCAAACGATCCTCCTGCCTCAGCCTCCAGAGTAGCTGGGACCATAGGCATGTGCCATCAAAATATGACAAGACTCTGTCTCCACCAAAAAAAAAAAAATCTTTTTTTGTTGAAAAAGATGTTTCCCAGGCTGGTCTCAAAATCTGGTACTCAAGCAATCCTCCCACCTTGACCTCCCAAAGGTTGAGAATTATAGCCGTGAGCCACCATGTCTGGACTAATTTGTCATTTCCATAGGAATTCAACAAATATTTAAATCCTCCCACATACAAGGCATAAACACATAAGACAGTTCCCTAAGTACCTTAGTTTTATTATTTCCCTGACTCTGTTTTCATTTGTTCTCAAGAAGAAAACTCCCTATCATTCATGTGTAGCTGTCCCTATATATAGTACTGGTACTCTGACAGAAAGTGTTTACAGTTTTATAGTTGACATAATACTCATTACATTTTTATTTATGTACCTGAAGTTATATGACATAAAACAATAAATCCAGTGCTTCTGTCTGATCTAGTGCTTATCTGTGATCAAAGGGCTTCCTCATCAATAGCCAGGCAAAAATCTAATTTTCCTTTTGTTAGTGAAACTGGATAAACTGTATGGAATTTGACTGATCATGAAAACGTTAAATGTAGTTTTACATTTAGTGTTCCAGAGTATGAAATGCTATTATTTCCATCCATGGTTTTTGGGGGCCCTTTTTCCATTTTAATGGTTGTTAAAGTGGCATTACTTCCCCTGCACCACTTTAAACATGTGTAATGACATATTTGAACACGCAGGACACATCCGGATTTCGGACCTCGGTTTGGCCCTGGAGATCCCAGAAGGGCAGATGGTTCGAGGAAGAGTTGGAACGGTCGGCTACATGGGTTCGTCCCTGTCCTTTCTACCTGGGTGCCCGAGTGCCTCAGAACGCAGAGAAGTCCCACCTGAATGGACCGGGGCCTGGGTCTGAACACTCTAGTAGACAGCACGGTGGTGTTTTGACTCTAACCTGTCAGGGCATTGAGGCTGCTGGGGATCCTCTAGGCTGCCCTTGCCTTCTTACAGATGAGGGGAAAGGCCCAGAGAGGCTTCGAGTCCTGAGGTCACTCAGCGAAGTGAGGGCAGAATTGGGATGATGCTGCAGGTCTCCACACTCTGCCAGTGTCCTCCTCTGTGCACAGTGGCCTCTCGGAGCCTCAGGAAGTCACCCCGCTCTGGTTTTTCCAAAGTTCTGGGGGCAGTGCCAGCCAACCCCAGGTGGCCTCTGAGGGCCTCGCAGGGTCCTGCAGGAGGACCCCGAGGTCTTGTGGCTTTCTGCTGTTGTGGCTTCTGGGGTTTTTCACTGACCGAGGATAGATGGCAAGACACAACATTTGGGGTGCTCTGGGCTTGGCTCTGTGTGTCTGGAGGGAGCCCCTTCAGGAGGCGGAGGCTTCCCTGGAGCATCATTTCCCTTGTGAATGTTACTGTGTGGCAGTCAGCTCATCCTGGATGGATCATACAAATGTTTACAAACGCCAGCTTTATTGGAATATAGTTCATATAAAGGCCACCAGTTTGGCCGGGTGTGGTGGCTCACGCTTGTAATCCAAGCACTTTGGAGGCCAAGGCAGGCGGATCACCTGAGGTCGGGAGTTCAAGACCAGCCTGACCAACATGGTGAAACCCCATCTTAAAAACAAAAAGCCACCAGTTTGAAGAGTGTAATACAGTTGATTTTATTATATTCACAGAGTTGTGCAGCCGTCACCACCGTCTAACTTCAGAGCGTTTTTATCACCCCAACAAAGAAACCTCGTGTCTGTGGACGGTCCCTCCCATCCCCAGCTCTCACAGCTCCTTATTTACTTTCTTTGTGGGGTTCTCTATTCTGTTTCATGTAAATAGAATCATACAATACTCATGGGTTTTTTTTGAGATGGCATTTCACTCTTGTTGCCCAGGCTATAGTGCAATGGCGTGATTTTGGCTCACTGCAACCTCCGCCTCCTGGGTTCAAGCAGTTCTCCTGCCTCAGCCCTCTGAGTAGCTGGAATTACAGGTGTCTGCCATCACAACCGGCTAATTTTGTATTTTTATGGTGAGACGAGGTTTCACCATGTTGATCTGGCTGGTTTTGAACTCCTAACCTCAGGTGATCGGCCCGCCTCAGCCTCCCAAAGTGCTGGGATTACAGGCATGAGTCTCCACACCTGGCAATATTTGTGTTTTTTTGTTTTTTGGGTTTTGTTTTGTTTTGTTTTTGAGACGGAGTCTCGCTTTGTCACCCAGGCTGCAGTGCAGAGGCGTGGCTGCAGCTTACTGCAACCTCTGCCTCCCAGGTTCAAGTGGTTCTTCATAGGTGTGCGCCACCACACCCGGCTAACTTTTGTATTTTTAGTAGATACAGGGTTTTGCCATGTTGGCCAGGCTGGTCTCGAACACCTTGCCTCGGGTGATCCAATTGCCTCGGCCTTGCAAAGTGCTAGATTACAGGCGTGTGCCACCGCGCCCGGCCGAATTATACAATATTGGGCTCTTTGTGTCTAGCTTGTTTGACCTAACATAATGGTTTGTTTTTGGTTTTACCATTATTTTTGAGATGGAGTCTCACTCTGTCACCCAGGCTGGAGTGCAGTAGCACGATCTTGGCTGACTGCAACCTCCACCTCCCAGGCTCAAGCAATCCTGCCTCAGCCTCCTTAGTAGCTGGGATTGCAGGTGCCTGCCACCACACTGGCTAATTTTTGTATTTTTAGTAGAGATGGGATTTCGCCATGTTGGCCAGGCTGGTCTCGAACTCCTGACCTCAGGTCATCTGCCTGCCTGAGCCTCCCAAAGTACTGGGATTATAGGCATGAGCCACCACTCCCGGCCTTAACGTAAAGCTTTTAAGTTTTGTCCATGTCACAAACATGGAAGGTATACTGCATTATTGGGAATTACAAGAAAATTTAAAATCAACATTTAACTTAATTTACATTTCCTGTATTTGTTACACAGCACCTGAAGTTGTCAGTAATGAAAAGTATACATTTAGTCCCGATTGGTGGGGACTTGGCTGTCTGATCTATGAGATGATTCAGGGACATTCTCCATTCAGAAAATTCCAGGAGAAGGTCAAACGGGAGGAGGTCGATCAAAGAATCAAGAACGATACTGAGGAGTATTCCGAGAAGTTTTCGGAAGATGCCAAGTCTATCTGCAGGATGGTAGGTCAGGCTCTGCGGAGGCTGGGAAATTGCACTTCTTACTCACTCTAGTTCTTCTCACTGGCAGTTAATAACCGAAGGAGTTGCTCTGTCATCTTCAGCAAGCCCTGGCCACCCACCTCCCAGGCCCTGCCTCTGCCCCTGCAGCCCAACAGGGAGGACATGCGTGCTCAGGAGCACTCACGTCAACTTGCCTCCTGGCCCAGCTGGGAGGACACGGGTGTTCAGGAGGCTCAGGTC